CTACAAGTCAGTGATAAGGCCTGTCCTACTGTATGGGTCAGAATGTTGGGCTCTGAAAAAGACGGATGAAAAGCGATTGCATGTAGCAGAGATGAGAATGCTGAGATGGATGTGTGGTGTGACGAGATTGGATAAAGTGAGAAAAGAGTATATTAGAGGAAGTTTGAAAGTGGCGCCAGTGACTGAAAAGTTGAAAGGGAACCGTTTGTCTTGGTATGGCCATGTGAAAAGGAGGGATGAAAAGCATGTAACAAAAAAAGTCATGTGTATAAATGTGGATGGATGGAGAGGCAGGGGGAGACCAAAGAAAATATGGATGGATTGTGTGAGAAGTGATATGGAAGACAGAGGAGTTAGCGATAGCGTGACGAGTGACAGGACAGAATGGAAGAAAAAAACATATTGCGCCGACCCCAAATAAAACGGGACAAGGGCAGGAAGATGATGATTGTTTTTTTATTCAGTGAGGAAAAAATTGCTTCTTGCCTTAATAAGTGGGACGACATGAATAATTGGGATGAACAAGTAGAACCATGTAAGCGTGAGATAGCTATGCTTTGGCACGAATGGGTAGGCTTGGCTGGCGTGATACCACGGCCTCACAGAAAACGGACGTGAAACAACCACAACGTTGTGTTTTGCCGTGTGAGAGGCAAACGGATTACCGGAGGCCTCATCCTTGCCTCCCCCAATATCCAAATCTCAAAAGCCCTAATCCCTAAAAGGTCGGCAACGCATTCGTAACTCTTGTGTTGTTACATGTGTCCCTCGGCGGTGCTGATTGCTTACCATCAGGTAAACTACCTACTCGTTTGCCGATGTATCACATAAAACAACTTTGAGGGAGTTTCAGGCTTCTACTGACTAAAAACCACCCTGTTCCTTCTTTATTAATTCGTGAAAAAGATAAAGCATAACTAAAACAAACCCATTTTAAAACAGCTGACTCTGTTGTCACGGAAGTTTCAACCTTATCGTAAATTATGTCAGGGAGTATAAACATTATTGTTTTAAATATTTGTACACCTCTGCCTATCTCTTAAGTAACACAGTATGGAGTTCGAATAATACGAGTTAAAAGTCCATGAACTAATAAAAAGATAATACTAAACTATTTTAGCACTACAAAACATAAAATCTTAAATACTAGTGTATCTAATCTGTCGATAAATTGTATCGTAAAAGAAGTGTTTATGTGTTACATAATTAGCAAGTCCATTAAGATTTGTTATACAGATGAATATAGTTAAGTATTTCCATTAGAAGTTACTACTGTATTACTATTAGGTTTACTCTTAAAGAACTCGTAATAGTCTGTGGTTTTACTTGTATTCCTGCATAATGGCGCGTTCTGGTACTTTCTTATTTCGTTAGCTCAACAATCCAAAGCGAATCCTGGCGTAAGATACGAAATTTCTTCATTTCTCACTGTGATTGACAACCGTTTGCCAACTGTTTTTTTTTTTTGGCAGAGGAAAATCATCAAATTACTTCTCTCGCCCAGGGTGAGGCGAGAGGAAGTGTCAGACTCTTACTGACTTAAACCCTTCCTTCTCCTGCTCAAGGCCGAGGCCGCGGTGACTCATTGCGCCACACCGCAACCCCTGGCTAAGCATCAGCCCTATAGGGCCCTGTCGGTGGTGGACTTACCAAATGAGTGCTTCCTCAAATCCACGTCCACCGTGCTTAACTTGGTCGACAGGTAAACAGAGGCACATTATGGTAAGGCTCTGACTGAACCTTTAAAACGATATTTTTATTAAAGAATCCTGCAAAATTTGGATATAACAGCAGAGGAGGTCTGTAGTCTAGCATTGACCTCATTGACAGGCTGTTAATTTTTAATTGTAAACGATAGGTACATTAATTTCTCCAAATCAATGTTTAAGGTGCATACCAAGGTAGCGCAATTTTATTGTGTCCAAACAATTAGATGTCTTCAATAATTAAAAAAAGCAACACCAACAGACAACATTCCTTTTATGAATTCCTTTATAATATATAACGCTAAGACATTATAACTTTATGTTACAAGTTTAGCATAATAATTTTATATTTAATTTTAATGTATTTGATATTGCATGTTAAGCATATAATTTATTGGAGTATTTGTAGTTTTATAGTTAAAATGCAAAATTAATTTAGTGTTTTGTAAGATCTTTTTTATCTTTACGTAACCTCAATGAAATAATCTGCAATGTTTGTGTTGTAGTTGAAATAAATTATATAAAAACAACGGCAGAGATAAGGAGATGTATTTTATATTTCTCATCATCATCAGCGCTTAAGAGTTTGTTTCTAGACCATGGAGCTAAATGTCAGAGCTTAGCAAGCAGTCTGGTCGAAGGTTTGAGAGGTCCCGTGCCACCTACAGGAACCAATAGTATCATTAGGGAAGGTTTTTTTGTGGTACATGTCCGCTCCGCTCCGCTTCCAACGAGAAAACGGATTACCTAATGGTAAGTAATCGGAAGGAGGATCAATGTTTAAAGTTTCTCCCGTCAACAACAAACAAATTGGGATATTATTTAGGTTAATCAATAATGTTGTCTGTTTAATAGTTAGTAGTAATATATAAGTAGTAGTAATACAACTATCAGTAAAATATTGCAATTCAAAGATTGACAGAATGAGTTTATTGAATTCTAAGAGTTTATTAAATTTATATCCGCCAAATTAACTGCATCAGATTGTTTGCAAAACATTGAACTGTGACAACAACTGACAGTCTTACCGCTTATTTATAAGACGTCTTCACTTTAAATAAGTAATATATAAACAAATAGAAAACTATTATACTCAGCTCGTCTCGTTCTGAGGTCTAAGTCTGGAAGAGCCATGCTTCGGCACGAATGGGTCGGCTCCACCGGCGTGAAACAACCACAGCGTTGTGTTTCGCTATGTGAGTGAGGTTACCAGAGGCCCAACCCTTCCCCTACCCCAATCACTAACTCTCAAAATCCCCAAAAGGTTAGCAACGCACTCGTAATTGTTCTGTTGTTGCGGGTGTCCATGGACGGCGCTTATTGCTAACCATCAGGTAATCCGTATGCTCGTTTGCCGACCTATCATATAAAAAAACATCTTTATAAATAAAATCCTCCTATTTCTACACTTCTACTCTTGTTTTATTTCAACGCATATAATTACATCGCTGCTACAGATGCATAGCTACAAAATTCTAATAAAAACTTAAATGAAACCTTTATAAATTAAGGTCTTTGTTTTATTTTTCATTTGATGTGTAAAGTCCATCAACTTGTAACAGAACACGCCACCTTATGAGTGCAACATTGCAAAACCTCATTGTTATCGTCTGTAAACACGTTTTTAGTACGAATGAGGACACCATGACTATAACATTATTATCAACTTTACAACTAATCTTACTTCTAAATCAAATAATGAATTGACAATATTACAAAATTACGCAACTCAACGCAATGTCTAACTTGTTCCTTCACTTCACACACAAACAGTGACAAAAGTGCCTATTTTAAAAAACACCTCTAGTTTCCGAATGGCCGTTATAGACAAAGTCAATCATACATAAAACTAGTATATGTGGAAGCATTGTACATATATCACGGATTTAAAATTTCTTTTGAAATCAACGAAGGGAACTTTCAATAACAATATACATACATATGCAGTTGCCCTTTGGCACATAATCAAAATGTATGATTTTGGTTTCTCCGCCGAAGTTATAATACAATATTACACAGTTTTTTCAATAAATCAATATTTTTATAACATAATAACTTAAGTTAAATCAACCTGGGTAGAGCAGAGAGAGTGACTTTGAGACCCTTACTGATTAAAATTACCCATAATTACGTTTGAAATAGCATGGATTGTAAGTAAAGCTGTTTTCCAGACACGGTTGAGTCTTAATCGACTGTTAAATAAATAAGATAGTCTGTTATCTATATGGTCACACTGTCAATTGGTTACTGATGACGTTGAGGATGTCTGTATTTGAACAGACGAGCTGATTAATAAAGTATTGACTTTCCTTGATGTTTCTGTATCAGGTCACTTTTTATTGGATGATATACTAGAACGAGCAATGGGGAGAGCTATGCTTGGAGTTTAGAATGATCTTCTGGCGGCGGTATTCCCGAACCGATACGACCATCAAACCTTCAAAAAAACGAGCGTACTCCTTCTTAAAAGGCGGGCAACGCACCTGTGACTCCTCTGGTGTTGCAGGTGTCCATGGGCGATGCAGGTCACTTACCATTACCATCAGGTGATCCGTCTGCTCATTTGCCTCCTATTCCATAAAAAAAAGTTTGTGAGCGTGACAAATTTCGCAAGGTCGAAAATCGCCAAAGAACCAGATTCACCGACATAGCTCTTAAAATATACAAGCTGTAGTGGCAATTGGCAGGCCAAATCGCCTTAAGGATTGACGGCAGATGGGTCACTAAAGTGATACTATGGAACAGAAGACGTAATGTTTCGATTTTGGTAGAGTCATGAGGAGCCAATAAATGCGAGTGAAGACGGTCTTTTTCCAGAAGTAGACGTCTTCCTGCTGATGATGATAGGTACTTTGATTTAACGAAATGTAAATTAAAGACCTTACCAGACCTTCTAACTTAGGCCAAATGATTTTGAATTTGTCTCTCTGTAACAGTGAATATAGATTTCAATGAAAAAAGGTCAGCAGGTGCATGCCCTCTGGGGAATACCACAGACGAGGTGATAAGATCTTTAAAATCCCCTTGCACAGTAATTATGATCTCATCTCTGATGTCATAATAAAAACCGCAAATTGATTCAGAGTAATTGAATCGAATTATACTACCCTATAAGATAGTTATAGAAATAACTTTAAATATATATGTAAAACGTTTAGAAGAAAACTCCTTTGACTACTTTTATCGTAAAAATGATGTAAGTACTTTCAAATGTCTATGTCAATACAACTGTCACACAAGTATAAATAGGTTTACGTGATTTTTTTTATATTAACTCGATAAATATTGTAGGATATGGTGAAGAAGTTTGGTATTGGAGGAAAGACAAGTGTGGAGGCTGATGTCATAGTATTAGGATGTACACTGCCAGGCATTGTAGCGGCACACAAACTCAAGAGTAAGTTCGGGGACTCCATGGACATTGTAGTGCTGGACCTCGGCTCCAACTTCAATTACCAGTCCAAATGCAACGTTGGATTCACAGAAAATAACGAAACAGACTCAGACAATGAAAACAATAATAAAACAATGTACTACAGTTACACAGCTCGACAGCTGCTTGACAATGTAGCCAGAATTTACCTCCTCCGGTACGCCAAAGAATTCAAATTACCCTTACCGGACTCGATTATTAATCCCGAAAATACAAAAAGGTCAGAAACTGATGAAGAATCATTAACGTTTGCAACGGAACAAGAGGAAAGTATTCCGTTACAAAAACTTTTCCAATACCCCAACGGTACTACCGTAGAATTTTTGAACAACCTACACGATTTCGAATACTTGAGTTTCTTAGAAAAATTTGAACTTAATCAATATCAGACGTTCTTAGATCATTGCATGACTGAGCTGTTTCAAACACACAAAGTTAATCTAGAAGAAGAGAGGAAAGTGTTACTGTACTACGACCGCACCACTATGGAGAAAAATATTTGCGAGACACTCCTTTTTTCAACTTCAAGGGAAATAATGAGAATTATCGTCAGATTAGTATGTGGAGCTCCTGCTAAGAGAGTGTCACTCCTCTTCTATCTCCACCAGTGTTACAGGACGAGTAGCACCAGGAACCACCTCGGTGGACTAAACACGAGGTTCCGCGAAAAATTATTAGGTCATTGCAGAAAACGTCTTTCCAGCAAACTTCAACAAAGTATAGCTGACATTACGATGCAAACTAAATCCATTAAACAAATTCGCACTTATTCAGAACAGGTTATCCTAGAAACATTAAAGGGAGAAATAACTTACACTTGCAATTTACTAGCGATGGCATTAAGGCCTGATCAATTACATAATATTCATGTTGAAGATCACTTAATGACAGAGAATCACACAAAAATAACCAAAGGTATGCAACCTGGCTATGCGAAAAAATTCAATATACAATATAGACAGAATTTTTGGAGTAGACAAGGATACAGCGGAGACATATTCAGTATGCGTGGTCCAATCATTTGGGCGATGGAAAGACCAAGAATGTCGACGACTGGGAGCTTAGAGAAATATTCTGGATTGATTGGTTACTTGATGGTGCGGGAAAATGATGATGGGTGTGAGTCCAAAGCGGCTGTAGTGCAGCAGCTAGTAAATTTGTTTGGTGAAGAAGCAGCCGACCCAGTAAGTTATAGAGAGACCCTAATAGCTGATGTGTATGTACCTAGTTGTGGGGACTATATTTCGTTGCGTAGGTTGATGACCGAAGGAAGCCCAAAGTTTCTGGAGTGGGGAGCACTTGACGTGTTCGCGGATGGAGATGTGGCGGCAGCATTAGAAGCTGGTCACACAGCGTACTTACACTTGTTAGGATGTTTAAGGCCACAAGCGCTGACGTATGATGACTTCGTTGCTACTGACTGGCCGACGTTCCTCAGCGAGATTCCGTTGTCCAGGTGGAAGTCGCAGATAAACGTGATTAGTGGCATTAAGATTACCATGTGCACTGTTGCTGTGGTCATCGGCGTCAAAGTCCTGCGCTCCTTGATCACCAAATAACTTAAACAGTTGTTTTATTTTGTATGACATTTAGTTTTATAGAGGCCATTTTATTTAAATAAATTATTTTATTTTATTATTTTCCTGTTCTTATTTCAATCTTTTCTGCTAACTCTGCAAAATGTTTGTGATTTTTGCTCGTGATAAGATTAAGACATCTTTAAAATTAATCTTCGCTTATTGTGCAGACTAGGTTTTACGACAAATATTATCATTATGTGTAACCTGTTATCTCAAAGCGATTACGTTAATGAAATTGGGTATGTTTCCTTGAACTTAAAATAATGAAACATAGGTAAACTAACACTAAGTTTAACCGTGTTTTTTAAAGCATGCTTTCTTATTGTTTAATCGCTCTGTGAAGTAAATAAAAATGAAAGTAAATAAACCCTTAACCAACAACTAATTTAATTATTTCAACAATGATCTTGATTATCCGAAACCATTTTGCATCTTGACCCAATTCTTTACACTCTTTTATTACCTGATTCAGGATTCGGAACTAGCTATGATTTAAAGCAGTATTTCAAGGGTTATCCAACTAATTAAAGAGTACCTATAATAGTTCGAAGTTAACCCGTGTGGTCTAGGTTCTGCGGCCTCGGCCTAGAACAGGAGTAGGACAAGGGGGTTTTAGTCAGTAAAAATCTCACGCTCCCTCTCGCTCCATCCTGGGCTAGACAAGTTATTTAAGGATTTCCCTAATAAATAGATGAATGAACTAAAATAGATGAATGGATGGCCGGATGTTTTATATAACTCTTTCTTTCACGTATGATCGTATATCACGTAAAAACTATGTAGGTATCTGTGATCTGCATGAAATTTAGCATAGTGATAGATTGTTAACTTAGTAATAATTTTGATTCGATAGACAACAAATATAGTTTTGTCGGACATGGTTTTTTATATCGTAAAACTTAAAATGTACCTTTTTAATGAATAAATAAATAGATAAATATTAAAGTCTGGAATAACACGTAGCAATACCTACTGTTCAATAAAGTATTGAATTTTTATTCTGGTTCTGTTGACAGAAGCATATTTGTACCTTGTATATTAATTAATTAATATACAACAATAATAGTACAAATATACTAGGTAAGTTAATTACAAGAAGCCAGCTATTTAATTCCAATACTTTACATGTAAAGGACGTCGTAAATATTCACACCGCATCCTGTCGTTGCCCGTGGACTATATTAGGGACGACTGGTCTGACCTTCGTGGTATCGACAAGGGCGGGGTCACGCAATCAGGTCAAGTTCAGCCATGGTGTAACTTGGTGAGTCAGAAATCATTTAACACTCTTCCTGATGGACATACGATATTATAATGTTGTCGAGGATTGTATATGTCAATTTAAGGTATGACCGTTGGTTTTTTAACTAATCTGGATTGTAATTTAGATAAGTAACGCCTAGAAGAAAAAGTTGGATGAGCTGCTAATCTGGAACATGTTGCAATTCGTAATAAGAAGGCGCTATTGTTCAAAATAAATTGTGAATAATATTTTATTTTACTTATTATTTTCTTTATTATTCACTGATTTGCAGTGTATTTCATAATAAAGTATTTTTTCTATATTAAGTAACCTTGCACTGTGTAATTCTTAACTTATTATAAAATTATTAAAGGGAGCATCTTTTCGACATCGGTATTCCTAATAGTATATAGAAATAATACATAGTGTGACAGAAAACTCTTTGACATCATGACGTCAATGGATGGTTGTCAAACGTTGCCTAGAGATTGTAAATTTCGTCGTGAATTGTCAATACGAGTTGGTGTAATTGGTAAGGCGTGTGGATTACACCACAGAGACCCCGAGTTCGAGTCCCGCCGTAAACATGAAGTTTTTTAGTTGATGGAAGTTTTGTCGAACTTTCTGGAATTATTTGTGTGAAAGAGATGAAAAATTAAAGAGTGAGAAGGAGAATAAATAAAAATGAATAGCGAAATTATTGGAAGGTTCTGGAGGCATGACGATCAAAAAGAATAACGAAATTGAATGTTCCAGAACCTGACCGGGGGTATATAAGCAGAACTGCGGCTCACCGCTGGCAGTTGAGTTCTAAGTCTAAAGCGATTCGGAAGAAAAGGAAGAAGTGAAAAAGAAGAAAAGTGAGTGAAATAGTGAAGTGCAGTGAAATAGTGAAGTGCAGTCACTTAAGTGAGTTAAGTCAGTGTGAACGGCAAAGTTGTGTCAGTCGGCCGGACTCTGCTGGAGAGGAACGCCGATAACTTAACTCCGTGGACGCTGTAACTTAAGTGCAATAGAAAGTCTGAAAACCGGCATTAGTGTTTCATTTCATCCAATCCCGTAACTCAAGCCCGCATAGTCAGGAACGTGACGTCAGGCTCGTAACATTTGGTGTCAGAAGTGGGATTGGAGAAAAATGCCGCTAGTGCCGCAGGACGTAAGAGGAGTGAGTACCCGTTCAATGTCAGAAGCGCAGCGTGTGAGGGAAGAGGGTGCTGCAGCTCGAACCAGCGATGCAGAAGCCAAGCCTGTGCAGGTGGATCTTCTGCTACAGCTGCAGCAAATGATGGCAGAGCAAGCGCGCCGCCAAGAAGAGCAAGCGCGCCGCCAAGAAGAGCAAGCGCGCTGTCAGGCAGAACAGCTGCGGGAGCTTAAAGAAGAGCAAGCGCGCCGCCAAGAAGAGCAAGCGCGCCGCCAAGAAGAGCAAGCACGCTGTCAGGCAGAACAGCTTCGGGAGCTGAAAGAAGATCAAGCTCGTCGCCAAGAGGATCAAGCTCGCCGCCAAGAGGAGCAAGCGCGTCGCTTGGAAGAGATGCATAAGGATTTCACGAAGGGACTGCAAAAGGCTGTCGAACGGGTACAAGAAGTGGAGGAAGGGTTAGGCAAGTTGGAACATCGCGTCAAGGCGATAGAGGAGAGAGTGGAAGAAGAGATCTCCAAAATCAAGCAGGAAGTGACAAGCCTAAGCCCTTTGAAGAGCCGAAGCCGTCTTGCAGCCGTTTTTGAAGCCCCGAATGCGGCTTCAAGTGCAACGAAAGGGCTTAAGATTCCCCATTACGACGGAACAACATCCTGGACCGCGTTCAAGCTACAGTTTGAGACACTTATGGAGGCTTATGGTTGGACTCAGAAGGAAGCACAGTCAGCCCTTATCCTGGCCCTCCGTGATCAAGCGCTCTCAGTGCTGGAAGCTATCGGCGCAAGTGGGGATCTCAGCTTTAGTGCCCTCCTCGACGCACTTGAGGCACGTTTTGGAGACAGCCACCTCGAGCACGTGTACAGAGCGCAATTAAAAGAGCGTACTCAGCGTGCTAATGAGGGCCTACAGCAATGGTCCGTGGAAATCGAGAAACTTGTGCGTCGAGCTTTCCGGTCGACTCCGTCAATGATTGAAGGCACGCTTCTCCAAGCGTTCATTGACGGTATTCGGGACCCCGAAGTACGAGCCGCTGTTCATCTGGGCCATCACAAGAACATGAAAGAAGCTCTGGCCCATGCATTGGAAGTGGAAGCCGTGCGTGGTAACTCCCGTACCTTACGTCTGCGGGAAATGACGACAACGGAGCAGGTACCTCCACGCCGTCGGAACTTCATGTGCTATGGATGTGGAGAGCGTGGGCACATACGGAGCGACTGCCCGAAGAAGATGAACCGCCAGGACGCGGCGGTCTCAACTTCTGACCAGCAGGGAAACTTAAATCCAGCCAGGGCTGCGGGGTGGGCGCTGGCTGGTAGTGGAACAACCCCAACAATCTACATCAAGCAAACCAACGATGGAAATACTCTGGTGATAGACGGTCAAGTAAATGGGAAAAACAGTCAGCTAACATTAGATACTGGAGCTTCAAGGACGGTGATAAATGTTCGGCTGCTCGAGCAAAACATCAGGAAACACCTTAAACCAATTGTTGGCCTACAAATGAAATCAGCTACCGGCCAGTGCATACCGATAAGTGGAAAACTGCATGTAACAATCAAAATTGGGGAACGTGTTTATCGACATGAGGTTATTGTGGCCAAAATTCTGGATGACTGCATCCTGGGACTTGACTTCCTGCAAGGGCACCAGTGTAACATCGACTTAAAATCTGGAGTTTTACTATGTGGAACTGAGGAAATTCCGATGAAGGGTGGAACCCTGGGAAAAGTTTGCTGTTTAAGAAGAACTGTTCTTGCACCAAAATCACAGACTCTCGTACCAATCGCATTACCTAGGAGGAAGGAAGGAAGTTTACCTCGAAGGTGCGCTGTGATTGATAAATCGGAACACGTAAGCTCATGGCTACCGGCAAGAACTGTCGTGGGGTCATCTGATGTCAACCGCATTCCGGTATTCAACTTCAGTGATTCAAAAATTACGATTGAAGAAGGAGAGCCTGTGGGCGTATTGGAAGAAGTGGCCTGGATAAGAAAATGCTCGGAGAATCTTGTGAAGAAGGACAGTACGGGAATTGACTTTGTAACGAAAATCTTAGACGAAAACAAAAGTCTGACAAAAGTGGAGACTATGAAAGCTAGAAATTTACTTCTTCGATTCTCTGATGTGTTTTCAAGAAGCGATGGTGATATTGGCCGAACTGGTTTGGTGAAGCATAAAATAAACACAGGTGATACAATGCCAATTCGTCAAAGGCCCAGACGCATACCATTCGCTCGTGAGAAAGAGGTTGAAGAAATGATTGACGATATGAGGAAAAATGACGTGATAGAGCCCTCTTCTAGCCCTTGGTGTTCACCTGTCGTGCTTGTCAAGAAGAAAGATGGTTCAACGAGGTTTTGCGTAGACTATCGACGATTGAATGATGTAACCAAGAAGGATAGCTACCCGTTACCAAGAATCGATGACACACTTGACACATTGAGTGGCATGAAATGGTTTTCAACGCTCGATCTGAAAAGCGGCTATTGGCAGGTGGATTTGGATCCCAAGGACAAGGAAAAGACCGCATTCTCAACTGGGAAGGGACTCTGGCAATTTAAGGTGATGCCATTTGGATTATGCAATGCACCGGCAACT